AAATATTAGTTTAATTACTCGAGTCTAGAAATTTTATTTATAATTTGTAAGATTTTTCAGGGTTAATAATGAAGATATGAATGGAAAAGCATACAAAGGACAATTTATTGTAGTTTCTTCTTAAATTTTAGCACAAAACATCTGCAAAATAGATTCCAGATATTTGTAGAAGTATATAATTGAGAAATTAATATTCCATTCAAACAAAATTAAAGACAAGGTAATCACATGGAGATACCTGGAATCCCCAAAACAACGAGTAAACATATCTTGTCACTACACTTGACGTGGTGGTCAGATTAACAGCCTGTACATAAATGCCATAGGGGAAACCATTTTCCCCAAAACAGGCAGTTGCATTTACATGTCCTATCCATTGTTTCCATGTTGGATCACTTTCAAACTTCTCATAACCGTTTCCATGCCCACAGTCAATGAATTCCATGCAACTCTCAATGTTGGAGTCATGACAAGCATCTCGAAAACATTGATTAACTCTCTGTACAAAAGTAAACCAAAAAAGTTATTCAGATCAAAAGAAAGAGCTAGCATTCTATTATATTAGAAACAAAAATTTCACTCAACCAGCCATAATAATGTAATTTCAAGTTATAAGAATGAATTTAATTAAAAAGGGCTCATTTGAACCGTTACATCCTGTGAAAGTTATTAAAACAAAAGTTTAGTGTATAAACCATTCGTGCCTTCTCAGGAATTCAGGAATAACAAAAACACTTGCCAAAAGAAAAAAGGATTAGAAAAGGAGGAAAGAGCATAACACTTTGAATTTATAAAGCAGTCATAAAAACTAAATACAAAAATTACTTCGCAGATGATGTTCCTAGCAATTCAGGTTGAAATTTTCAACAATAATTGGAACATATCACAAGTAGGAAGGGAAAAAATAAATAAAACTCCAAAGCCATGGATGCAATATCGCAGGTAGTTCAATTACAAGGATCCCACAAAACAGACAAAAGAATTCTCAGCAGTTACATGAAGAAAGCTTTTAAATTAACAGAGCTAACCTGTAAGCCAAAGAGATACCAACATGAGCCCACCACGTGACCAGACAACACAAACATGAGAAGATTTATAACGAAATTTGCCCACGCTGACTCGAATATGAAGCCAGTTGGAGACTGACCAGCTAGAAAAAGTAAGAATCTACACAACCGGGGAATGTACTGAACAAGAATGGCTGATCGTAAAAGATTTTTTGCATGATTTGCACCAGATTCTCCAATGGTCGTTGGCAAAACCATCAATATCATTATCTATGCAAAAATAAAAATTCAGTGTTAGTAGCTTATTATGCCTTTTGGTATGTCCTGACTGTCAAATACAACTCTTGAAATCATAAAAGACAAATGAAAAGTTCCAGATAGCAGCCTTGATATTAAGCCTATGTTTGGCCTGCCAATTTAGCTCGATAACCTTCCTCCTGTCCTCATTTCATATATAGAGATTTACAATTATATATAAAGAAACCCTAGTTATACAAAAGGAAAATTAATTTAAACAGGGAAATTAATTATACAAGGAAACCTGTTAATTTACTGTAAATCACACCCCTCTAATATGGCCCCCATTTTTACAAAAACTCATTGTATCAAAACTCATTTTCAACTACACATGCTTCCATAAAATAATTTTACACGCAAATCGAAATTTTTTTCTTTTTTTTAATCACACATTCTCCAGAAAAATAACTATTCCAACATACATTTTCTTACCAAAATGGGGCTAACTAAACTGAAGGAAATAAGTAACAGAACACCTGCTTGTGATAAACCATAAAGTAACAAAACAAAAATAAGTAGAGCACCATTCCAGCATTCTTTTACATAATTACTGAACAAGTTAGAAAATGAGAATTGACCAGAAGATCAGAATGAATATTAAGTGTTAAAGTACTCAATCCTGACATTAATCAGGACAGATTTATATTAGGTCCCTGACATGACATGCTTCAATTATAAAAAATGTGGAAAAGAACAGATGAAGAGAACCACCATTATCATCCAGCTGTAAAAGGATTAAAACATGTGAGATCCATACCTGTGGAAGTGGCAGGACAACAAAGAAATCAATGATAAAGTATCCAAAAAGATAATTGAATGCAATCTTTTTTGGATCATCAACTAAATCTCCAGCTCCCACCACTCTAGATTCAGGAGCAATGTAAGCCAACCTGAACTGCAAGATGAATATGGTTCATGTCATGATGTTCTAGCCATTGATCAGAGGTTATAAGTGCACTGAAGTACATTGATCCATATATAAGTGCATTTCATTTAATCTTTTCATGAATCATTAAGTAACTTGTATATTAATTATATCTTTCCATCACACAAGTAATAGACAACTACTTGGGAATTAAAGAAAATCAATCTAAACATAGTTACAAACAGAATATGTATTGAATACAGTTATATTTTTCTGATAACTACAATTTGAATTTAAATACTAATATATGTCCGCTGTCATAGATATGGTCAAATATTAAGGCCAGTTAAAATTAGTAAAATAAAGAAACAAGCCTCTATCAACCTCTTAATAATTTTTCCTGGGAAGATATCATTATTATTAAATTATGTTTTTTAAAACCATTTAAGAAATGCAATGTATCACGATGGAATGCATCTTTGAACTAATAATGAACCTACTGTTTTACTAATATCTTCCCCGCCTAAAGGCAAAACTAACTGAAAATTGGACCAATCAGAAACTTCCTCTTCCTGTTGTAGTCCATAGCATTGTAGCCAACAGTACTGTTTTCAGTTTAAGGGGAGAGGAAGGGAAAGAGAATAATTTTTATGAAGGGAATGAATTAGAACTAGTTATGAAGGAGAGATAGATGAAGTAAACCAATGTACAATATGACAAAGGTACTCAAATTTTTATTAGAACTTGATGATCCTCGTTCTAGGATTCCTTTATATGTATAGGGCCAATATACCAAATTGCAAGGCCCCAAATTCAGCCATCTCTATAAGTAATTAAGTTCCTACCATTTATACATTTGCCATGTAAAGTATCTTATCCAAATTGCTGGCTATAATTACTACTATCCAATTGACATCCCCCTTTAAATTGATGCTAGGTGATCAAGAAGCATCAATTTACTCACAAGAAAGATATGGCGTTGACGAGTCATTACTTTGATGAATACATCGGCGATCTAAAGGTCAATTGAGATATGCGGAAGAGAAATAATACGATTGTCAACATCCTCTCTAATGGAATGACAATCTATTTCGATATGCTTTGTACGCTCATAATATACCGAATTAGCAGCAATCTGAATAACACTCATGTTGTCTGCATGAAGAGGAGTTAGGTCAGATTGAGGGAAGCCAAGCTCAGCTAATAGCCCACGAAGCCAAACAATATCAGAATTGGCAGCGAACATGGCACGATATTCAGATTCAGTAGATGATTTGGATACACGAGCTTTTTACTTTTTCAGGAAATCAACAAATTACCTAGAAACATACACCAACCCGTAATAGAGTGACGAGTATCAGGACAACCAGCCTAATCTATATCACTAAACACAACGAGACGTATAGGAGAGCCAGCAGGGAAAAGTAATCCACGATGAAAGGTACTTAAGAGATATCGAATGATGCAGCAAATAGCTCTAAGCTGGAGATGTTGTAGAACTTGCATAAATTGACTAACCTGCAGGACGGCAAATGATATGTCAGGTCAGCGATAGTCAAGTAGTTGAGACTGCCAACTAGTTGCTGAAAGATAGTGGGATCATGAAGGAGATTACCTTCCTCACGACGATATTTCACATTGACTTCAAGAGGAGTATCAACAGAAGAGGAATCCTAAAGACCAGCTAAAGTGATCAAATCTTGAGTATATTTATGTTAGTTCAAGAATATGTCTGCAGAATTTCTATGTACTTCCAACCCTAAAAAATATATAAGCAAACCAAGATCCTGCATCTTAAAGGAACTTTATAGATGTTGTTGGAGTCAAGTGATCATTCAAAGTTTGTGCCAGTGATGACAATATCATTGACATACACAAGAGAACAATACCAGTAGATGTCTTGCAAAGAAATAAAGAGGAATCATTCTGGCTCTGGATAAAAGAAAGTTATAGTATGGTGGATCAAAACTTCTCAAACCATGCTTGAGGAGCTTGTTTTAACCCATAAAGAGACGCTTCAACTTATATACTTACGTGAAGGGGAGGAAACAATCCCCGTAGGAGGTGCCATGAAAATATCCTCCTTAACATTATCATGAAGAAAAGAATTTTTGACATCTATCTGGTGAAGCGGCCATCCCTGAGATACAGCGGTTGAGAGAATAGTCTGTACTGTAGTCATCTTTGCCATTGGGGCAAATGTCTCCTCATAATCTATCCCATACTCCTGCCTATTCCCAAGAGCAACTAGACGAGCTTTATAACAATTCCATAAGAACGAAGCTTAATAGAATAGACCCATTTACAACCAATAGCCTTGACATTAGGTGGGCATGGAACAATGTCCCAAGTATGATTATCTTGAAGTGCCTGAAGTTCTTCATCCATAGCCTTCCGCCTACACTTTAGCAGCCTCGAAATAACTAAAAGGTATAGGAATAGATATATATGTAGTGGCAAATGAATGAAAAGAACCATACCTATCAGGAGGTCAAGATAGTCGGCTAGATTGTCAAGGACCTTTGTCAAGGGGCACATCAGTCTTAGATGCCAAGTCAAACTCAGAAGGAAGAGGTTAAACAAGCTTAGGTGTGGGGTCAAGCTCAGGAAGAGCCTAGATGGTCGACGTCTCCCATGCACGAGTCCAGGTTTGAATATTTCAGGATAAGAAAGGTTGGTGCTCAAAGAAATTAACATGACGAAAAAATGATACTAATTTCAGGCAAAGGCTCATCATGAGTAGAAAAGAAAGGTTGGTGCTCAAAGAAAATAACATGACGAAAAATACTAAATCTGTTAGAGCATGGATCATAACAAACATAACCTTTGTGTGAAGCACTATAACCCATAAAAGCATATTTAACAGATTGAGCAAAATGTTCATGTCGTTCATGAGAAGCCAAATGAACAAAGCAAATACATCCAAAAGTATGCAAGTCATGATAAGTAGGACGATGATGATGAAGATGATAATATGGAGAGTCAAAAGTGCAAAGCTTGAGAAGGCAATCTATTGAGTAAATAAACTGCAGTAGACAATGCTTCAACTCAGAATTTTGCAGGAAGATGTGAATCAAGTAGCAATGTACGTACAACATCCAAGAGATGACGATTCTTTCTTTCCTCCACCCCATTTTATTGAGTATGAAGGCATGATCGTTGAGACACAATTCCTTTCTAGTTTAGGAAATCATGAAACTCATGAAACATGTATTCCCCACCAAAATCAGATCGTAAAATTTTAATATTGGCAGAAAATTGAGTTTCCACATATTTCAGATTTAAAATGGAGAAAGTAGATCCATGTGTATCGACTATAATCATCAACAAAAGTCACAAAGTATTTATACTGAGCATGAGAGGTGATAGGTGTAATGCCCCAGACATCACTATGCACAATATCAAAGATCTTTTTGGCATGACTACAATGGGAAGGAAAGGGAAGAATCTTACTTTTTCCCATTTTGCATGTAGAACAATCAAAGCATAGATTATTAGAAGAATTGATTTTATTACACAGCAAACTTGAATTTAACAAATAAGACACAATAAAAAATTGTTAGGGAAACAATCTTCAAGTTTTAGGCCACTTCGTGAGTATCTTACCCGACACCTGATCCTGTACAAGACAACTGCCACGAGAGAAATGCACATCACAATTGTTACCAACTAATTGACCAACTGAACTAAGACTTGTTGATAAAGTAGGAGTTATGAAAACATCCCGAATAGTAGAATTATTGTTACCAACAGCATCAATAGGCAAATGAATTCCATTAGCTACTTAAATATGGGATGAACCTCAATATGGACTAATATCACGAAGACCATCTGAAGAACTCGTCATATTTATGGTACCGAAATCAACTAGCCAAGATTGAGATGAAGTATTATGTTTACCTTGAAGTCCTAAAGCAGAGAAAGCGGATGCAATCACCATTTCAGGAGTAAGAATAGATTACGTAGCAGCAGAGAATGTTTTAGAAGTAGATGGGTTGACAGTAACCTGATATGCATTAGACTGGTGATTCTGAGTTCGAGTAGGACAATCTTTGATAATATGTCCCAATTTTTTGAAGTAATTGTAGTACTTGGCACAGTGAGTGGCAATATGCCCAAAATCCTTGCAGCTGAAGCATTGGATCTTCTTCATGTTCCTACCCTTGTTTTTCCCATGAGCTACATAAGCGACAACAGTTGAGGTCATGTGATGATTTTGAAGAGTGGCCTGTGCCGTTCTTTATGAAGTAACTCCCCAAAACAGACATCCAAAGAAGGAGATGGATTACCATTCATCAAATTGGAGCAAATTGCCTCAAATTCTGGACGTAGCTTTATTAGAAACTGATCTCTCTCTCTGTTCTTGAACAGCCTAGACAGCAGCAAGGGATTCAGCTGGTACTTTTGCATAGATAATGTCAGCAAATTCACCACATAAATTTTGAAACCCAGAGAAGTAATCCTGGATGTTAAGATTGCCCTGAGCGTAATTTGAAATTTCGTACTCTAACTGAAATTGTTTGGCTGTGTGGTCTTGATTATAAACCTTTCTAAAATACTCTTATATATCTTTAGCAGTCTTTTATGGCCTCAGATTTAGAATATCATAAGATCAACAAATTCTAAAATCCATGTCATAACCCTAGCATCTTTCACTCTCCATTGAGCCAATTTGATATTCTCAGCAGGCACTGGGTGACTTCCATCAATGTGACCCCATAATTCTTTTCCCATAACAAATAATCGAAATTGAAATTCTCGTGCAGAATAATTTTTACCCGTAAAGTGCACACCAAAAAATTCAGAATTGTTGGTTGACATGATGTATGTAATTTAATTATACTAGCAAAAAGGCCAAAATAAATATGCAGGTCAAGAAAACCAATATTTCAACAGCCCAAAAAATCACAGAGACAACCCAATTTGTAAAGGTCCAACCTTAGAGCCCAAGCAAATTCTATAAGACTGGCCCAATTAGAATGAAATAATTAACAAGCCCAAAACATCAATTTTACCTTCACAACCCAACACAAACGCTTCTTTTTGTCTTTACCATATCAACGATCTACCTACAGCAAATTGACAATCTGTTCCACCTCTGAAGCCGCCAAAAAATCCAAAGCTTAGAGACTACGTGGCAGCCACCACTAAAGTCACCGGCAGAGAAGAGCCAAGTTTTCGATCACCGGAGAGAATCCCAATCAGAGAGTACTCACGAATTCGGCGCCCCAGAAATTCAAGAGTAAATTCCAATGAAACCTGATGATTACGAACAGGTTTCCAACCACCATAGGAGCAAAAAAACAAGAAATCAAGCCTACAACTTGAAAATAAACGACTCAGCTATCACCAAGAAGACTATCGAAATAGTTATAGAACAGAAATTGGATTCTCATTCAGAGGCGTGGCTAGCTGGCTCTAATACCATGACAATGGTACTCAAATTTCAGTTAGAACTTGATGATCCTCGTTCTAAGGATTCCTCTGTATATATAGGACCAATACGTCAAATTACAAGGCCCTAAATTCAGCCATCTCTGTAAGTAAATAAGTTCCTACCATTCATACATTTGATATGTAAAGTATCTTATCTAAAATACTGGCTAAATTTGATATGTAAAGTATCTTATCTAAAATGCTGGCTATAATTACTACTACCCAATTGACACAATACACAAGAACAATAAAATGCTACTACTACTCATAAATTTCAAATGCTTAGCATTATGAACTCGCATAGGAGAGCAAGAGAAGAAAGGAAAAAATTCTTATTTATATATACAATTGATAATGAATTAAAAAGTAAAATAACAAATACTAACAATAACTCACTACAAAATAACAAGAATAAAGGGTGATATTCTAAGTGTACATCCATGGCATGTTTCCAAACAGTAGAAATGACAACAGTTACCTGAAGGAGGATGCGAATTAAGTAAATAAAATCTGTCACGCTTCTCAATACCACAATTGTTGTTGTCATGGGCAAATTTATCATTATGCACTTCTTATCCTGATCCATAAGTGGAAATTTGGTTGACAATAATGAATATATTAAGTACATGTGAAAACATATTAACATGTTGCAGAAAGGAAACAGGAGCATGCAGTCATAGATGGAGGAAGTAATATTTTCAAACCTATCTTGCAAATCAAAGGACTTTCTATGCAACATAAATCAGTAGTTCTTTATCTTCTCCTCTGCCCAAATTGCATTTGTGTAATTGGATGGGATACAGACTCATAATTATGCCGATTCTCATCATTGTTTCCTCTTCACACTTGGTACATGAGATCATAATTAACACTTAAAAGCTGTTCCAAGTTCAATTTAAATTTCAATTCGACCTCAGTTTCTCAGTTTGCTTCAACTTAATTTCACTTTTACTAACGACGTTTTCTTGCCTTGAGGCTTTTCCTGCATCGGAGTGTGGTATCAAACCTTTGTGGAAAATAGCATTGAGGTTCCCCAAAGTTATAATAAGAAAGTTGATTCTCTAACCATTTTTCTTGTCATTTGGGTCCACAACCTTATATTTTCAGAGCATTTGGTCTCCACTGACAGATTTCATCCAAAAAATCATTGACTGGTCAAGTCTAGCATGTTACATACTATTTAAAGGGTATAATGACAACTTAGAAAACAAATACAAAATTGTTTATTAAATAAACAAACAA